AAAAAAAATCAAATTCGTTTTTCAATTGATCATTAAAATGACATTTTCTCTTCTTTGGGTTTTCCATTACTTGAATGAAATAAAATTATAATAATAATAATGTAAACATATTACGTATAAATAGAATTATGAATTCAAGAATAAAACATACCAACTCTAATTACTTGAGCAAAATATTTGCAAATATTAAAAAAACAAAACACTTTGTACAAGTTAAATTATTGATGCTTGACAATGGAATGAGATAAAAGACCGGGTGAATAAAAAGAAGCAATTACTTTTACTCGGAATAACTGTTCAGCTTTTTTTTCTTTGTTCAGTTTTTTTTTTTTTTGTTCAGTGAATTTAAGAAAACTCAAATGTTATTCACGCGAAGCTAAGCAATTTACTCCAATAATTACTCAGCTTTACGCAAGTAAAAAAAAAAACTACTTGCTCCTGTCATTCTTTATATTTTGATTTTTTTTATTAAACTTGGAAACGAGAACATTGTAAAATGCTTATATTTGACGAAATAAATAGATAAATTTTACAATGTTCTCGTTTCCAAGTTTAATAAAATAAATCAAAATATAAAGAATGACAGGAGCAAGTAGAAGACATAAGTCTTGTCGTCAAGCCCCTACAATTTGCGTGATATATTTTTTACAAAGTATCCATAATATATAAAATATTATAATTTATATTTACTATATAATTAATTAAGATAAATAAAGTAAAGAAATTTAAAAGATTAGCTTTACAAGTTTTTTCAACAAAAAAATAAATAATCATTTTATATAGCAAGTTAAAAATAGCTATACTATAATAACACTTCTAAAGTAAAATATAAAAATAAAAAATACATAATAATTATTTACATTTTTTTTGTGTCATTATCTCATTATATACAAATACTCATTATATAAAGCAAATAAATATAAACTTTATTGTAATAAGATAAAAATAATATAAAAGTAAAGTGAAAAGCTAAAACAAAAAAAAAAAACAAAAAAAAAAAAAAAAAAACAGCAAGAAAAACAAATAAGTAACGTAAAAAAAAAAAAAAATTTCAAAACTAAAAATATAAAAGTATGTTTGTATCTGTTAAGTTGAGCAAATTCTGTTTAACTACATTTTTAAAAGATTGTATTAAGGTTATACTTTTTATTTTGTTGTCAAGAATTCTGTTCCATAGACGAGGTCCTCTATATGAAATTGAGTAATCCGTTTTTTTTTAATGTTGACTTAGGTAAGTTAAAATTGTGAATAGAGCACCTCGTTAAGAATTTATGAGAAATAATTGAAAAATGATTGTTAAAGAATTTAGGAAGCATGTTGTTTTGATATTTAAACATTAATAATAGGTTTTGGTACAAATTTAACTCATAGACGTTTAAAGCTTTGGTTTTACGAAGTAACGGTTTGGCATGGGCACATTTATGCATATTACATATAACTCTACTGGCTTGTTTTTGGTTTATATATATTTTCTTTAATGCTGATGAACAAGTACTGGCCCAAGCAATGTTACAGTAGTTAAATAGTTGTTACAATGTTAAATATATATATATATATATATATATATATATATATATATATATATATATATATATATATATATATATATATATATATATATATATATATATTTGAGAGATCCCTCCTTGCCAACACCCTGTACAATTAAAATAAACTATTTTATAGCAAATAAAGCCTTTTTTAATCTTTGTGGCTATGAAAAGCCATTTTTAATTTTGGCTATGAAAAGCCATTTATAATTTGGTTATGAAAAGCCATTTTTAATTTTCTTTTTTTGATAAGTTTATTCCAATTTCGGCATGGTAATTTTTCTTTAGTAAAAGCCTTTGATTCAGGATCATTATCCAGAGTATTAGTTCCTACTATAGGTTTGAAGGTACATTGGTTTCTTATTGTATTGTCATTATAGCCACGATCATGTAAAGATCTTCTCTCTTTCTATGGCTCGCTGTTAGCCAAAGTAGTTTTCTAACAAATCTTTACAAAGCCGTTCAGTTAAAACATATTGAAACCCAATAATTAAAAGATATTTAACTAAATCAACAACTGAATGGACAGTGATACTGATACCTTCATATGTTTGCCAAGATAAAAACATATTCTATCAATCAGCCTTAATGAAATTTTCAGGTCTTAGATCTAGAGACAATATCCGATCTTCAAAGTATTTTTAAAAAACATCAGTCAGCCATGTTAGTCTTTCATCACATATCAAATAAAATGGCTCAGAAAATGGGTTTTGTTTTCTAGTGCAATCTACAATATTTTTTCTATACACAATCAAAAAAATTATTGAACATTTGGACGAAAAGCTGGACGAAATGTCTTTAAAGCAATGCTAACAGATCAACTGAGTACTTGAGCTGCTAATCTTACATTCATTTTGAAAAATGGGCTTAATCTAATATGTTCTAGGGAAAGACTTGGGCAAGTGTGAAGGCCACAGTTTAGATCTTCATAAAATAAATCTGATTTGTGATTCCACAAAATGTGTTTATCAGTATTCCAAATATATCTCCATTTACCTGAAGCAGAATGAAAAAGGCAATTTCGAGCAGTTTTTATCAAATGTGGAGGACCAGCCATGAAATATATATATCGATCATCATCAGCAAATTTATTTTTGATGCGATAAGTAAATCTAACATTTTTAATATTATCTTATATTTCTGTCATTGAAAAAAATTTACGATTACACAAGGGACCATCGCTTGTTGTAGCAACTTTTAGATAGCATAAAAGTTCTAAAATGCTGACAGCTTTCCAAAATAAAGAGAATAACTGAATAGCTTGAATATTTGTTCTAACAAAGTTTGCAAAACTATATTTAAAAGGGTTTACAATACCTTTTACATAAAAAACAAGAACATGTGTTGTAATTTCATCAGTCTTATTCAAAGTTACATAGTTAATATTAGTATTACTAAGGTCAACAAATCCTATAAGATCACCAGAATATTTATTCTGTACCAAATTTTATTGATTTTTCATTTTATCTAACAAAAGTGTAACCAACCGTTCTTGATCAGAAAAATCTTTTACCTTTAAACTCAGTTCATTTACAATTTTATAGTTGAAACCTTTTTATGGTTGGATATAGCCTTTGACTTGGTAAAATGACAAATCCAGAATTAGTTTTTTCAATGAAACGAATTTCCTCATAAGCAGCAGGTGACTTTGAAGCAAGACCTAAACAATAGTGAATAATCATTGGATGATAACGAATTCGCTGTTTTGAATTATTTAAGTTGTTCATCCCAAAATAACTTCATAAATGGTGTGACTGTACTATCATTTTTTGATATGATTGTAACCAAGTCTTTATGTAGGTCATCACTGACAAGATGTGTTGATTTATTTAATTTCTGATTCATTTATTTGATTATATCTTTAAGCAATTTATTTTCTTAACTTAACTTTGTAGGGTTAATTTTACATCTATCTTTATTTTAAATAATAGCTTTACATTAAAGAGCTCGGGTACGTTCTGTTTGGTTTAAAGGCTAAGAATAACTATTAAATAAATCAACATTTTTAGGTACAACATGAATAAGACAGAAATAAGAGCTAATTAATTTACCTGGACATACTTTATATGAATCGCTAACTTGAAAAAAGGGGACATGTCTTGCGAAAATTCACATAACATGTCCCCTTTTTCAAGTTTACGATTCCTATTACGATATGACAGTAAAACTGAAATCCATTACGACATGACAGTAAAACTGAAATCCATTACGATATGACAGTAAAACTTAAATAAGGTTACAAACAGTTGTATTAAACATTGATCTTTTTAGATGCAAGTTTAATTCATGATTATCGAACAGGGCCCATAAAAATATACGAATAGTAAACAAGAGGTTATCATCAATATATATTTTGGACTTATGAACAGTGTGAATATCTATCTTACTCAATTTAAAAAAAGTGTCACTAGTATTTACATCCCAATCAAATTTTGTAGACTAATACGTTTGACCAGCATCTTAAAAGATTTATACGATTTAATATGGACTGCTTCATCTGAAACAGAAGGAAAAGCTGATTTCTTTAGGGATATAGAAGAAGCTGATGCTCGTGCTTTAGGAATAAATATGGCAGAATATGGCATTGTTTTAACAGGAATGTTCAATTAGGTGGTAAACCTGGTTTTAAAGTGGTTTTATTTGGATTAACAACTAGCCTTGTAATGCTTTTCACAAACAAACAATAACTTTTTTTATTTGGGTTTTCATCAACTACTCTATCTTTAGTTATAATATTTTTTTTTTTTTTTTTAGTTTATATATATTTGCTGTTTATATAATAAGAAAATATAATAACAAAGAAACATTTACATACAAAAAAAAGTTGATTTATAAAAACAGGCAGGGGCTCAAAGAAGATACGGATGACTAAAGTCACCACAATCTTTTCATAGAGCCCCTATGTGGGCTTTACAAGTTTAAAATAGAATAAGATTGTTAAAAATACAATTGTACAATTCCAATATAATAAAAAAAAAACTTCATAAATATTTACATTTAATGAAAGAAAGGAAATAGCATTAATATAATTTTAACAACAGTCATTTAAAAAATACTGACATTGTTTTAAATATAAAAAAAAAGACAATTTTTTTTTTTCAAACTATATGGAATAATGGAATTCGATGTTTATTTACAAAAATTGCAAAATTATCTATAATGTTTAAAAATTCATTTTTTATGAGAAACTTAAAGGAGTTTAATGATTTTACCGTATTTAAATGTTTGGTTTTTTGAAATGTGTTCCGTAGTTTCGGTCCACGGTATGCTATTCCATATTCAGAATACTTGCTCCTAATTCTAGGCAATTTATAAGTATTTAATTGGTTTATTCTAAGAGAGTAATTATTGCTAACATTTTTTGTTAATTTATTATTAAAGCTATATTTAAAATTTTTATTTTCCATTCTTTGTTGAAATATTATTTTTCCATTATTTTTTTATTTTTAGGTGCCCCAAGAAGACCTAACGGTCTTGTCACAGAGCACCGTGGAAGTGCATTTAACCAGGAAATGCACGCCTCCTTCCTTACAGTGACGCAAAAATGTGTCCAGACCTCGTTTCGAATCTGGATCTCCTGCTTATAAAGAAGGGGCTCTAGCCACTGCGCTACGGCCACACAATAACTATCAACAGTTGAGATACATATATCCATTTGTATCTCAACTGTTGAAGGAGTACGAACAGCTGAAAACACAGTTTGATAACGGAACAGAAGTAATTCTCAAAAATCCATAAAATCCATACAAAAAGGCTTTAACCTCTTTGAAAAATCACTGGAAGCAAGAGCCATTCATACTACAGATACCCAGAAGTAAATTGTTGAAGGAAAGATTTTTTTAGTATCTTCATTTGTTGTCATAGGGCACCATATTTTTTTATAAAATAATATTCACATTTGTTATTTTGTTCTTCTTTTTATCATGTTTTCCACCATGTTTGTTATAAAGTAGATGAGAAAAAAGGACTGGAATTTTTTTAGTGCCTTCTTTTGTCGCGAAGGAAAAGAAGGGGGTTGAGGGGAGGCCTTAAGTCAAAATTTTTATGCTATTAATTATTATTTTATTACTTAGAAATTTGTTTATAAAATTCAAATTTAAATTTAAATATAAATTAAATTGGAAAAATATAAGTTAAATAGGAAAAAAAAAATTAGTTGACTTTTTTTGTTTTTATTTGTAGCTAAGTCAGCTAAAAGTCGATTTAGTCGAGGTATGAGAATAATTTAATTATTTTTGAAAAAAATAATAAAGTAAATTAAATTTGCTGTCCATTTTTCATATCGTTTAAATAATAATGAAGAAAAACAACACGAAAGAAAGGCTGCTCCGACAACAAGACAATTATTTCCAGATCCGAATGATTTAGACACCACCTTTATATTATCAAAAAGTCTTTACAATCATATTTATAATGTGATTTTATAAATGAAATTTAGATTTTGGAGCTTCAAAACTTAATTTTGTCCCAGGGCCCCGAAAAAGCTTGTGACGGCCCTGTATGAAATTGTTTATGAAAATGACAAGCGCCCATTAAACAAAAGAAAAAATAAATATATAAAATATATAATTTTTTTTTTTTTTTTTTTCAGTTTACAATTGTTAATCGTAATATAACAATATAACAATATATAAACTTGGTATCTGAAAGAAGATCCAAATGATCTTGTCGCCAGAACCATATAAAATATATCATACATGTATATATAATAAAATAAAAATACAATTGATTAAATAACTATTAACAATGTAGAAGAAATAAAAACTGAAAATAATTTTACAAATTATCAAGAGTGAAAAAAAGAATTTTACATTTCAAAAATATTTATATATATTGCCAGTAGAAAGAATATAGTTTTTTAATTTAGTTTTAAAAACGGAAAACGAAATTGACAAATCAAAATTTGGAACAACAATTTTGTTCCATAAATACGGTGCTCTATAGTTTATGCAAAATTGATTAAACTTTGTTTGACAAAAGGGTTCAATTAATAAATTATTATTTCGTAAAACATATTTGTTTATAGCTTTATAAGTAAAAAGATCTTTGAAATTGGACAATGGTCGTTCACTTTTACAACGAAACATAAAACATAAAATATTATAGACATTGAGTTCGTAAACGTTAAGTGCTTTAACGTTTTTAAATAAAATATTTGAATGAGAAAAACGATTTTCGAAACATATTAAACGCATTGCGTGTTTCTGACAATGGTAAAGATTTCGTAACTTACTTTTGGAGGTACTTCCCCAAACAATATTTGCATAATTTATATAGCTATGAATAAATGAGAAGTAGAGTTGAATTAAATTTTGTTTACTTAGATAGTATCTGACCTTATATAGAATTCCAATACTTTTAGCCAATTTAGTAGAAATATAGTCGATATGATACTTCCATGTAATATTTTCATCAATGTAAATGCCTAAAAATCTTGTGACCGACTCCTTTTTTATTTCAATTTTATCAATAAAAAGTTTAGGCAATTTATTTGGTAAAAAACGCTTTTTCGCAAGAGAGTGGAAAAGGATCCACTTTGTTTTGTCAATGTTTAAAGTTAACTTGTTGCACTTAAACCAGTTGGAGATCTGATTGAGTTCTTTATTCATATTTGAAAAAAGCTCATAAATGCCACTGTTTGACAGAAATAAATTAGTATCGTCCGCAAAAATTATACTCATAAGGTTAGAAGCTTTATTTAAATCATTTATATAAACTAAAAACAAAAGTGGGCCTAGAATAGAACCCTGTGGAACACCACATTTTATGTCAATTAATTTTTCATTTTGAAAATAATCTCCATAGAAAACAAATCGTTTTCTTTTTTCTTTTTTTTTTTAATTTTTATTTTTCGTCATTTGACACATTTTACAATGTTAACCTTACATTCAAATAAATTTATACGAATGCAAGCTGACTGGGGCAAGTAGAAGACAAAATGTCTTATCATCAAGCCCTTTCGTGAAAATAAAAAAATAAAAAAATTTTTACAATTTCCAATAATATATAAAAGAGTGAAATTAAAAAAAGTTTAAAAAAAAACAAATTAAAAAGTTTGAAAAAATCAAAAAGTTGAAAAAATAATTTTTAAGTTTGATAAAACTAAAAAGTTTGAAAATAATAAAAAAGAAAAAATTTTGAAAAAATAATTTACAAATCCGTACATATGCGTATACATATCCAATAAACTTCATAATATATATTTAAATATACAAAAGATATTTTGAATTAAAAAAGATTCCGAACATTTTATAGATTTAAGTTCATCTACTCATATTTTTTTTTTTAAACAAAATTAAAACAGACAAACAAAAAGAAACAAGAAGAATATATATAAGAAGGATATATGTATATATATACACATACACACATACATATACACATACACATATACACATACACACATATACATATGCACATATACATATATACATACACACATACACATACACACATATACATACATACATACACACACACATACATATATGTATATATATATATATACATATACATATACACATATATACATATACATACACACATATACATATATACATATACACATATACATACACACACATACATATATACATACACACATACATATACATATACACATATACACATATACATAAATATATATATACATGTATATATACATATATATATATACATATACACACATACACATACACACACACACACACACACACACAAACACATATATATATATATATATATATATATATATATATATATATATATATATATATATATATATATATATATATATATATATATATATATATATATATATATATACATACACACGCAAAATACATATATATATATATATATTTTTTTTTAATTAAAAAAATGAAAGAATGTACGTATTGTTTAAATTTAGTAAGTATTTTTTTATAGCTCTTAAATATATCAATAGATTTTATTTTTTTCATATTTTCGTCAAGAACCGAGTTCCACAAGCGTGGTCCCCGACATGCAATTGAGAAGTCAGACTTTTTGAGTAATGTTAGTGGGATGTAGTAATTATTTATTGAGTGTCTTGTTTTATATTTATGATTAATAAGAGAGAAGTTTTTATAAAAATATTTTGGAATTAATTCGTTTTGAAGTTTAAACATAAATAACAAGTTATGGTAGGTGTTTAATTTGTATACATTTAGGGGATTTATTTCCTTGAATAACGGCTCGGCACTTTCGTATCTATCCATGCCCGAAACTAATCGACTTGCTTGCCTTTGTTTTGTGTAAATAGTTTTTAGGAAAGATGAGTGATTGTTTGCCCAGGCAATATTACAATAGTTAATATGACTATGTATAAACGAAAAATATAAATTTTTTAAACATATTTTGTTCAAAAGAGGTTTAGTCTTATACATTATCCCTAAAGTCTTTGAGACTTTGTTCTCGACTAGCTTTATTTGGCTTTTCCAATTTAAATGTTCGTCAAAAATTATTCCAAGTATTTTCATTGAAAACACTCTTTTTATTTTAATATTGTTAATAGTTAGTTCTGGTAGTGTAAGTGGAAGATTCTCGGATTTAGATGGTTTAGCAAACAAAATATATTTTGTTTTTTCATTATTCAACGAAAGTTTATTTGCTATAAACCACTCATTGAGATATGTTAGTTCAGTGTTTACATTACAAAAAATATTTTTTAAATTTGAATCAGAATAGAAAACATTAGTATCGTCAGCAAAAATAATATAATTAAGTATTTTTGATGACAAATAAATATCATTAATATAAATTAAAAACAGTAAAGGTCCAAGTATTGATCTTTGTGGAACTCCACAACTTATTGACTCAAATGTGGAGCATGTTAAATCAAATGGTACTACTTGTTTACGATTTTCTAAATAACATTGCAGCCACTTTAAGTTAGAGTGAGTTACTCCGTAATTACATAGTTTGTTGATAAGAATCTTGTGGTTGACAGTATCAAAGGCTTTGGATATATCCAGAAATATTCCGAGAGTGTAACTATTGTTTTCAAAACCATTTAGAATTTGGTTCGCAAGATCAATTACTGCATGCTCCGTGGAATGGTTTTTGCGAAAACCAAACTTTTTATGATAAAGAATGTTATTAGTTTCAAGATAATTGTACAATCTGTTGTGCATAATACGCTCCAGCAAACAATAGACGTCTTTTAGACCGTCTAAAATTGGTCTAATTTGTATCTATTGCCGGTACGTATATTTTAGACGTATATTAGAGATCGAAAAGACGTCTGATTCTAGAGATATTATTTTTGCTCTGTTTTAGATGCATATTAGATGCATAAAATAGATCGTGCATAGATAATTTTTTTTTCATCTAAACTTAGATGTCTATAAGAAGTCTTTATAGATTTGTTATAAAAAAAAAGAAAAACATTTTAACTAATTTTACGGAGCGATAATTATAAATGACCGTCATTTAAAAACTTTCCGAAATCTTATTTCGAAAAAAGCATGAAGATTTTAACCTATGGAAGACATTAATGATTATTTCTTTTGATAAACTTTAAATAATAAAATAACATTATAGTTCACAAATATTTCGATGATTTGATGCTTAGCATGTTTGCTAAAATCCTTGTGATTTGAAATTTATTTTGCAGAAATATAAAATTAATATTTTCAAGTTGATATTTTTATTTCTAGAATAAAAGATAATGTAATTAAAATATATGTATATATATATATATATATATATATATATATATATATATATATATATATATATATATATATATATATATATATATATATATATATATATATATATATATATATATATATATATATATATATATATATATATATATATGAGTGTTTTTCAATAACACAAAAGATTGTTTTATTGGTGGTGCACTTATCGTTTATCGAGGAACCAAGATTCATTTATGTCTTTTACAAAAAGGGCATACAAGAAGAGACGCAGTAGGCGTGTCCAAAAGGAATATTAAAAAATACTAGAATTTTCATCAGTACATATAGAAAAAAAATCAAATGTTGGAACTTCTAAAAGAAATGATTTCTTATCTTGCGAAAATCTAAAAGAATATTTTGACCATCATGAGTCATCGATTTTGTACAATGAATACTCTTAAACCAAAAGCCTAATGAGTATAAGCATAACCCAAATTTAAAGGAAAGTTTTTCTGCATTTTTTTCTAACCAAGTAATGTTGCACTAAACAAGTGAATTGACAAAGAATAGCAACAAATTTATTGTCCCAAAAAAACTATAATCATGCACTGAAAAACAGCCTTTCGTCAACAAAAGAATGGCACAAATTTCCATTGATAAAATGTAAGATAACAGATGGTCAGTATCTAACTTGTTTTGTGTTTTTTTTTTAAAGGTAACTTAATTACTTTTTTGTAGCAAAGTGTTTTATAATTATATTCATTTTCATGTTGTGAAGAATACAACTTTCTACATCAGATGAGATATATGCTAAAGAAAGCATTAAAAATAAGAATAACAAATCATACCGCTCTTCATTGCCAGAACCTTCGCCACCTATTATGAATAAGCCCAATGCTAAAAGTGTATAACACAAATATCATTATTTTTTCTTAATGGTTTTTAAACTGAAATAGATTCTTGTTTAATTTGATCTGAATAATATCTATCTAGCTATTAGTCTTTTTTATGTATTACTAAGATTTTTCTTTTATTTTAACTATTTGGGTGTCCTATTATATGTAATGTTGTTAAATTGGTTACATATATTTATATCATTGACAACATTCTATTGTATTAAATAATCCTTTAATCAACTTGATATGAAAATTGAAAATTAATTGAAAGCATGCTGAAATTGTTTGAATTCAGAAATTGAAAGAGTACAAAATTGGTTGAAAGATGGTTGAGGGATTATTTATATTTCTAATTATAATTATTTCTTTTGAATAGAGTTGTTATCAGATTCAGAGATTGAAGAAGATGTTTTTTCTTCACATTTTATTGATGAACACAATAAAACCAAGCAAAGTTCACATTGTCAAAGAGTTTTAAGTTTTAATGTGAGTAGTTTTGGTTTTTACACCACTGAATGTTAATGTGGAGGTCTTTTTTATTAATTTGTTTTCACAATTTTAGAGCACATTAACAATAACAAAATGCTCTCTGCAAATTAACAAGGTTTTCTTCATCATAATCATTATTGATTTAATCTGTCTTGATTTTGCCAAAGCGTTTGGTTCTGTACCTCACAACAGACTTATGTTAAAATAAAGATCTTTCGAAATAAACGGCAAACTCCTACAATGGATTAAATCTTTTTTAGTAGGCAAAAAACAACGTGTTATAATTAACAACACCAGCTCTGCATGGATTAATGTTCTCAGTGGTGTTCCTCAAGGTACTGTTCTCCGTCCGCTTCTCTTCATTCTCTGCACGAATGATCTTGCAAACTCACTCAAACTACTGATATATTTGCCAATGATACTAAACTTTTTTCTAAAATCTATTCGCAGTCTAATCTTATTGATCTGCTGGATCATCTACGCTTAGTATACTTCCCTCCACACATCTACTTCGCGCCGGCGTTGGTCTTAGTACAATATTGAGATATAGTAACCTTTGATATTGTATTTTGCTTAGTATTGTATTAAGATATAATAACAATTTAAAGGTTTAAACTAAATCACTTAAAAAAAATTAAATCTTTAAGACTTTCTTTAACTTTTATTAAAATGGTTTCAAACCATTAGTATAAAAGATAACGAAAATAAAATTGTCTTTTTCGTTCATATTTTTGATGATATTAAATAATCAGCCCAAATACTTATGTTTATGTTATGTTATGTTTACATATATTACTTTTCTTTTAATTAAACAACGCGTTTTTTTTGTGGTTTTTGATTGATTTTCTGTCGTTTTTACTTTTTTATTTATAAAATTATTCTGCTGGAAGGCTGTTAGCAACAAATTATTTTATTGCTGAAGTTTTTGATTTTTTTTTGTACTTATACTGTTTTTTTGTCTTTTATCATTTACTGTGCATGTAAATTTTTGTGTGACGGGGCTCAGTGATAAGACAACCTGTCTTCTTCTTGCTCCGGCCAGGATTTTCTTTTATTGTAATTTCTTTTTTGTAATATTTATCAACGGCAAAATAAATAAATAATAATTAAAAAAAAAAAAAATTTTGTTAAAACTTTTTTGACAATAATTTTCGATTCATCCATAGCACTTTTATTTAAACAAGATAATTAAAAAAACAACAACTAATGTATAGAGTAACAAACAACCGTGACAAAAACTTAAAGTAAACGAGCGCACATAAATATTGTGCGCAAAGAACGCACATAAATCGAAAAACTTAAGATGTAATTTATAACATAAAGGTTGTTATTAGTAAGATGTAAGTTGTATAGATGTAAGAGCATGAAAATTGTGATTAGGAAACGTAGGATGTAATTTAAAACATTAAAGTTGTAATTCAGAAATGTAACATGTCGTTGTGTTGACGCTAATGATAAATTGTCTAATTAATTTTGTTTTGATGGTCGCCATTTTCAATTGACTGTCACTTCAAATTGACTTTAGTATGATCCTCAGTCAATTTTCTTTGGTTTAAAACCAATTCTTCCGATAATGTTTAATATTTTGCTGCAAATCTAATTGTAAACAGTCATATATTTGACACTTAAAGTTTGCTTAAATCACCCAATCGTTCTTTTGCTCAGCGCATTTAAAAACTCTTCTTCTGTCATTTGGTAAGGATAAAATGTAATGTTTTCTTTTAACCTGTTTATTTGTTGTTTTTTTTCATGCTGACAAACCGGAAAAGTTGGTTCTTGTTATTCTAGAAGTGGATGTAAGCAAATTTGGTGAAATAAAAGCTGACGCGGATTCAATTTAATAACAGACATTACGGTCATAGTGTATTGACAAATCTACTTCTCAAAGGACTGCATTTATAAACAGCAGCTGAAAAGTTCGCTCGACCTGTTTCTTACTTCGTTACTCTTACAGGCAGACCATTCCTTCTTCAATAAATTCTCAAAGTCAAAACAATATATTATTTAAATTTTCTGCTCAATACTTCAGTTCTTTCTATATTTGGTATTTTAATTCTTAATTTAGCAATGGTAGGTCTAAGTTGTTGAGAACCCTCAATAGGTTCTTCAATTTCTTTAATTGTATAAACTTGTGTCGACAATTTTTTAGTTATGTATTAAAATATATTTAAATATAAATATATTTTAATAGAAAAAAAAAACAGTTATGCGTCAAGAACGCATAAATGTTTTTTTTTTGTATTAAAATATATTTATATTTATTAAATTTCTTGTTGTATTTTTTAGAATATTGTAAGTAAATTAGTAAATATTTAACGCAGTGTATCAGCTCTAAATGAATCATCAAATATTTCTGATCTAATTTATCTGAAATAAATCTAAACTTTGTTTCCGCAGTGATGAGATTTGATTCTCTTCTGCATAAAACGTCTAGACCAAGTTTTATTGGTACCATGAAATGAAATAAAACATTGATTTTAAACCATTCTTCATTTGCGAAACTTTATTTTGATGCTATGTCAACTAGAGCTTTTTTGATATATAACTTTAGTTTATCAAATCGTTCCAAAATATCGAGCAAACCGTTCCGTTTTGTCTGACAACCAAAAATCAACATTGACTTTTTGTCTTGTTTATGTAGGATAAACCTTTGTTTATATGTATCATTGAAAAATATTTCTTTCAAAATATTTCTGATTATAATAAGAGATAATCCAAATTATTTTGTGTCTTTTTTGTTTAAATCAATTGCGTAATTTAAATGCCGCAATCCAGGTGAGATTCCGTAAACAACGCGGGATATTCACTGAAACGATGCTGGATCTCTCGGGATTGCAATCCTTAATCAGATACCATTTTATTTGATAGGAATGGTTTCACTCAAACAGAAGTCTAAACAAAGATGCGCAACTAGATAATACTAGCAAAGACAAACATAACCCACTGATAATTACTACGGAGTGATTAATATTAGGTGTTATTAATATTAGCAATAATTTTATTACGGAGAAATAAAAAGCAAGACCAAAGTTGAATGAGGTCAAAAAAACCCAAATTAACGATTGCACACCAAAGATTCTTTGAAAATAAACGTTTTGGAAGTCAAACGTTGTTGATAACTGAGTGAGAATGATGAAAGATTGAGAAGAAAGATATAAAATATAATAAAAGACCCTATAAGAATCAAATCAAATAATTAAAAAACAAATTTAACAAAAATGGGCAAAACTGTTCAAAATTGATAAAATATACATCATGACTTAAAAAAGGTATCATTTTACATTTAAGTAATAACAGAATAAAAAAGAGTTTGAGAATCTATGTAAATTCCTCGATAACATTTACAAATACTTCAAATACCTAAAAAATATCAACAAGGCTTTGTACAAACTCAAGTCAATTTAAAAAACTAACACAATCGTTCATTTTTGAACCATTTTAAAAACAAATGCAATAATTACAAAGATTCTTTAATAGTTAAAAGAGGAAAAAAATAAATAACGTGTACTTTTATGCTTTGAAAACAACATTTTAATAACGTCATTATTTCAGTCAGTTTCACGAAACTTTATTAAATAAAAAGCTTGTAAATAAATAACTGATTTAATCGTTTAAATATCGATTAACATTTCGGTTATAAGTGCAAATACCGATTTCGATATTTAGACTTTTACATTTTCGATATCGATTGTAAATTTCGGATATAAGTGTAAATATCGATTAACATTTCGGATATAAGTGTAAGATTTTAGTGTCAAATCTATCTAGTGTCAAATTGTCCTTCAATTAAAATCTAGAGGAAGCGCATTACATATTGTACATGGATTTAGACATTGTTATTCTGACAAAAGTGACCAAGGGCTGTTGATCAACCTCTTTCAAAGTATATTTTAAGGTGTTTAAGCCATCGACTGTCATTCGTTCATCGGAATTCTTCAATAAATTCATTCTAAAAAAAGATAACTAATTAGAACAACAAATAAAAAAATAAAAAAAAAAGCAGGTGTGTTTACATTTTTTTTGTAAAATATCTGGAAGGGTATTTTAATATAAGACAATATCACAAATATCATAACAAACAAATATTTACAAATATTATTACAAATAACTAACTATGCGTATTCATCAGTATATACTAACATATATCAATGAATGAATAAGGTGCATTATTTGACATGATATGCATGCATAAATGCCACAAAAGCTTTTTTTGTGGCATTTATGCATGCATATCATGAGTGAAAATGATGAAAAGTAGTTGAAAATGAGGAAGACTGGTTCACTGCTTACTTCTAGACACAAAAAGCTCACAATAAAAAACCCTAAAGCAACAAGTAAAGTTTTAAAAAAATGTTTAAAATGTTTATATTTTTGATTCCACGAAAGCTTAAAAGTTTTACAATAATTTCTAATCTAACTTTACAATTATTCTAAAACGTTGCTGGAAAATGGAGATATTTGGAATATGGATGAAACTGAAGATTATATTGTAGTACGAAAATTGCAACAAATGAATTGTCATTTACTAATGACGAGAGTAGTAACTGTGGCAGTTGTGACTTCTGCTAGTGGAAATTCAATTCCCTTTTTTTTTTTTATTTCCACAAGTGAAGTTTATAGGGTATTTTTTAAATTGTACTCCTGATGGTAGATCAGGCGCTAGAAACTTTTCTTGTTAGATGAACGAAGTTCATTTTTTGCAGATTTCCTTTTTTTCCGTTTTTTAAAATTTTAAAATATGAGTAAAAAATTAATACTATTATATATATAGAATTAAGTTTGAACCGTGGAAATATTATAGAAGTTTTTTATTTAATTTAAATTATTTCTTAATAGTAAACTAGAAGAGGTCTGGGTTCGATACATTGAATGTCACCTTTGGAATCAAAAATCCTGCATAAATGGAAATTCTTTTTTTATTTGTGATAATTGTCATGATCATTCGATACATTGAATGTCACCTTTGGAATCAAAAATCCTGTATAAATGGAAATTCTTTTTTTATTTGTGATAATTGTCATGATCATTCGATACATTGAATGTCACCTTTGGAATCAAAAATCCTGTATAAATGGAAATTCTTTTTTTATTTGTGATAATTGTCATGATCATTGTTGTTAATGGAGTTATAATATATATTGTATAACAACAATCAGCTGTAAAAATGGAAATCTGTATTAAATGTATTAAATGTAAGTAATAAAACTTTTTAAAAATATTTTTATAAAATTTAAAAATTATTTTTAATTATTCATATTTACAACTAAATTTCTATTGACAATAGAAATGGACCTATAAAACTTCTTATGAATTCCTCTCAAATTTTTGTTGTGCTAAAACTTGCAACATTTGTTTACATAATTTAATTTTTTTTGAATAATTTTTATTTTATTATAATTTATGAGAATAGCATTTATATTTGTTTGCATAATTTTTAAGAACAATATTTATGTTTGTTTGCATAATTTTTTAGGAATAACATTTATACTTTTTTGCAGAATTTTTGAGAACCATATATATTTTTTTGCATAATTTTTTAAAATCATATATTTGTTTGCGTAATTCTCGGGAATTATGCAAACAAATATTAATCTTATAACTTTATTATGCAAACAAATATTAATCTTATAACTTTATTATGCAAACAAATATGTTCTAATTTCATATATAATCGTAAATCATAAAACATCGTAATCGTAAACATAATAATATTTTCTCTGAGCACATTAATAGATATCAATACAAAACATATTTAATAACTAAATATGTTTTGCATTAATATTTATAGATGTGCTCAGTGCTAAAAGAAATTAAATGTTCATATTCAACCTAAAAGCACAGTGTAAAGAAAATTAACGTTCAAAAAGAGGGTGGTAGAAAAAAAAACTTTGAAAAAAGAGCAGGAGTTAGAGTGGGGTCGGTGGGGTAAGAGGGTTAATTTAAGTTTAATAGGTTAATTTTGAAGTTTTGTGTTTTCTTTTGTAGTATAGTTGGTAAACTAATTTTTTTTTTTAAAATTTGATTTCAAAATTACAATTATCAATGAATTTTGTAAAATAAAAAATTCAATGAATAATATAAAAATTTAAATAAACAATTTTAATTTTTTATATTTAATACTATTAATATAATATTTATATTTTTTTAATTTTTATTTACCCGACTAGGTTATTTATTTACTATTCAAAAAGGAAACATCCTAATAACAGAGCTAATTGAGATGAATTCCTTTTGCGCCAAAGAACTTTTTTTGTTTGACATCTAAAAGTTTTAGATGTCAAACAAAAGTTTTTTTGCTTTGGTGAACCCCATAGACACACAATATTATAAATCAAATAAATACACAATGTTTTTTTTTTCCCCATGAAATTTTCAAATCTTCATAGTTTCTTCAGAAATATATATTTTTTTTATATATTTCTCTAAAACTGCCTAGTACTACGGTGTCCTAAATTGGACAAAAAAAAAATAGCAGTATTTTGATATTACAAAAATATAATATTGAAATACTGGTAATGAAACAGGTATTAAAAATTATAAGTATAAGTTGCATTTATTATGTAAAATGTTAACAAAAATGTTCAACTGTGATAATCATAAAAAAATGATAAAAGTAAATAAATTTAAAAATCAAGAACTTGAATATTTAAAAAAACTTATTTGGTAGAACTTTATCTCTTCCATCGAAGTACCATCTTTTACCTCCTTTATAATATCCATTGAAGTACCATCCTTCACCTCTTTTATAATATTCATTGAAGTACCATCCTTTACCTCCTTTATAATATACATTGAAGTACCATCCTTCACCTCCTTTATAATATTCATTGAAGTACCATCCTTCACCTCTTTTATAATATCTATTGAAGATATTATAAAGGAGGATGTTATATTGTAACATAAAGGAGGATATTATATTGTAACATCACTAAATACAAACAGCATCCAGAGTTTTGTCAGCCATTCTGCTTGTAAAAAAAATAGCACAAAAAGTCTTTTTGAATTCAAAGCTAATTGTCTGAACAGTGAAGATAAATAAACCTGTTAAAGATATTTTATCTTTAAACAGCCTTATATATTACCATTTTTAGCCATTTAGTGCAGTACTGGTAGAGTGCTTGCTTTAGAAGCAAGAAATTTTGAGTTTAATTTTCTAAATTCCTTTTTTTTAATTCTGTTTGGCTTATGTTTTGTAGTTAAAGTATGTAAGTATGTTGTAGTTATGTTTTTGTATTTAAAGGTTTGAGTAAAGGTTATAACAACAAATTAAAATTTGTTTTAAGTACACATAAAATTAAAAGGTTCAAACTGAATTGTGTTTCTGTCATCTTCAAGATAAAAATTTAATAAAAAAAAATCAACTCCATTTTTTTTGCAATAATAAATTCTTATAATGCATATTTTTAACACAAGTTCTTTACTCAGTGATGATTTAATTTTCATTTGGTCTGTTAAACATCATCATATCTAGCTTGAGCAAATTATCATATCTAGCTTGAGCACATCATCATATCTAGCTTGAGCACATCATCATATCTAGCTTGAGCACATCATCATATCTAGCTTGAGCACATCATCATATCTAGCTTGAGCAGATCATCATATCTAGCTTGAGCTTGAGTTTTTTCAAATGACTTAATGCTAAAACATTTCTAATAGATTTTTCCAGAGTTTTTTTAGTTTCGAATTTTGAGATTAAACAATATTATTTATCAATTGGAGATTGGACTATATCTGAAGTAACAATTTTAAATGATAAATCTTTAAATATTTTCTTAATTTTTCCTAATGTCTGTTTCTCATACCAGTACTTTATAAATCATTACTAATCCTTCCTCATATGGTCATACATTTTAAATGCTGAAAGATAATACTATGAAACTTAAAATTTATCAATGAATAGTTGAGAATAGTACAAAAAATATTTTATCAACTTGTTGCCCCTCATATTTGGAAGGTGAAGGGAGAAGGGGGGGGGGTTGATGAAGTTAAAAGACTTTTTTGTTTCCAGCCTCCAATCATCACAATTTTTTGAAAAACATCATTACTTAACATAAATATAAACATACAAATATTTGAACTTTGCCTCATGTCTGGAAGTTAGCACAAACACCAAAAGATTCTGGATCCGTAACTGGTTGAAATACATAGGACACATACAACTGCTGGGCGGTAAGTAATAATTTTCTTAGTTTCTGATTAACTGTTGCACTTTTTGGTTATACATTTTTTTAAAACATATTAATTCAATTTGTCATATATAGAATTATAGTATTATATTATTATAGTACTATAGTATAGAGTTATGCCAAGGAAAAGAAGCCATTCAAAACTAGTTGAATTATTTACAAGATGTTATTAGATTTGTTCAAAACTAAATATTTTTAATAAAATATATATAAAATATTAGTGGTGCCATTAATACTTTATTATTGAAAAAACAATTATATCATTTTATTAATCAATCTTGTATTACTATTTGATTACAAAAAAACTATCAGTATTTATTTTACTACTTCAAGAGAAGTTAACAATAATTTTTATATGTGGCTATGAAAACAGCTGTTTTAGTAAGTTCAAGTAGTCTCACTTTCAGTAATTTAAACTTTTCTGTAATCTAAATAATTTTGAACTAAATAATTTTAAAATCTAATAAGATAAAGAATAATCTTTGCTTTTTTTTATTCTTTATTAAATTGTTTATCAGTAATCTTGCCCTTGTTTTTGGCATTGAGGTGATGAGTCACCCTGCGATATACATTATTTCTTGCAAAAAAAAACAACACGTAAAGTATATTCTCCTCAGTTTGGTTAGGATAAAAAATTAGGTAACCTAATTTGTCTGTTTCCAATAAATAAACTCAATAGCAGCTAAAACAGCATTGAATTCATTAAAAATATTAAAGTCTGTGTCAGAAAAATTAACTTTAAAAATATTTAATGCACTCAGTCCAGTCACCCCATAATGTTTATGTTATCTTACAAAATTTATAAATAACGGCATTTCAGAATAGCTAAATACTATGACTGCAACAATGAATATTGTAAAACAAAACATTCAATGCATGCTGTAAAAATTTAAATAAACAACTTTAATTTTTTAAATTTTAAAATTTAATGATTACTACTATATAAACAAACAATTAAAAAAAAAGTATAAACTACATTATATTAAAAAAAAATTATAAACTACATTATATTAGAGTATGTAATTATTTCATTAATCTTGTTATGATAACAGTAAATAAACTACCTGTTAGGATCTGCCTGAGAACTTTGAAAATGATTAAATTTTACCATAGTGTAACGGCCAGTCAATAAAGAAGGTCTAGTCAACTTGTAGCCCATAGTAACAATCCTAAAAAAAAAGTTGTTTATAAAGATATAAAATAACCTAGATCAACCATAATCAGATCTTAAAATAAATTTTCAAAATATCTAAACACAGATTTAACTAAACATGTAGAGATTTAACTAAACAAGGTAAGATTAAATTAAACATATACAAATTAAAATAAACATATAGAGATTCTGGAACCTTCCAGAAGCATCCACTTTTAAAAACCATGAGGAAATGTGAATACTTTTAAAACTTTGTGGTGGCTTCTGCAATCTTCATCTAAAACTATGCATATAAAGCTTATTGTATTAACTAAATTACACAAGTCAAATAAAATGTTTTGCATAACTACACGCTCAGGAAATTTGGTTAATACAAAACATTAATAAGTTCAAGATCTTTGGTTAATAAAGAACATGAATAAAGTCTACAGTTTTGCATATAATCAACTATCAGAAAAGAAGTGGACATCAAAGAGTAACTATTTGGAACTTTGCAAACAAACTGCAATTCTACATGGAGAAAAACCACCAAATAAATTTTGCAAACTAAGTGTCTTTCATACAGGTTGTTAGATAGTCATTTTTTTTATAACACAAAAATGCTTATTTTCAAACATCAAATATAATATTAAATCTTTATGTAACACCAAGAAAAATTGATTAAATTAGAACGTATTAATATAGAATATTGTACTTTTTTAAATTTGATTTAACCAAAGACAAGGAAGATATGTATCATACCTTGATAACTCTTTGCAGAAATGAAACTTATCATTTAGACATCATTTTACATTAGTTACATGCGATAAGTTTTAGATTATAGGTTCTTGTCGGATGGAAAAAAGAAAAAATTTTAAAAAATACAAAAAAGCTAAAACTTGCTACAAAGATCCAAAACCATGTCAAGAATTATCAAAAAAAAAAATTTTTAACTTTTAAATCTTCATTTAAAGATTATCAACAGGAGTTATCTCAATTATTAAGTAAATTGTAAAAGATTATATCAGTTATTGATAAAGATAATAGGTTTTCACATTAATGAAGGTCTAAATAACTTATTTTTGCCAAGTCCAAAAAAATTGAAGACATGATCAAATAATAGCACTCTACTGACTTATATTTAACCAGCAAACATCATTAAAATAAATGACTAACAAACCTTGTTAAAATAAATGAAAAATCTTTTCGTTTGAGTTCAATTTTATTTACAAGATTAGCGGGTATAGTCAAAAGAAAAGAAAGTCTTGAGCAATTCATTATGTTGACAACTTGTTGAGTTGACATTGAGTTGACAACTTTTCCATAGTTATTATTTGTGCAAGATACAATGCAAAATGCTGATGAATCATCTTTGAAGAAAATACTGCTAAAAAAAAAATAATGCCATAACGCGTTATCACTAATTAATTTTTACATCTCAGTGAACGGGTACCTTTTATAAATGCAGCCTGCATGGCTTCTTTTTCTTTCTTTGAGTACCAAGTCTCAAATTCTCACTGTTTTGTATTTATATTTTAAATATTAAAAGTAGAACAAATGAGTTTGATTGAGCGTCTTTTTTTTATTGAGAAAATCAATTTATTGATTTTTCTTTGAGAAAATCAATAAATTGATTTTCTCAATGAAAGCGGATCATTTTATTGATGAAAATAATCTAAAAGCCAGAGTGTATTGACATATTTGAATGCGGGAAAGCGCTTTGACAGCCGTTGCTCAAGACGTTGAAAAGCCAAAATTATGACCAAAAAAAAAACCAAGCATCAGAAAATGTGCATCGATGAAACCAAATATTTTGCAATCAGTCTCACATTGTTAAAACTATTGATATCACATTGTTTAAACTATCCAATGAAAGATCAATATTGATTATCACATTGTTTAAATTATCCAATAAAAGATCAATATTGATTATCACAATAAGCAGCAAATTTCTGATTGATCAGAAAATCAGTTGAATCAACTGCAACTGCAAACTTTATGGTCTCGATTCCATTTTGGATGAAGAAACATGTTGAACAAAAAGGCTAATGCTGGTTTTTCATGAAGAGCTGTCACTAATGTTCCTAAAGATATCAAATACAAAAAGAAATCGAAAATTGAGAAAAAAATTCTTGTTTGGTTGGCAATTTCTGCTTGAAGAAAAACATGATTTTTGTTGAAAAGGAAGTAATCCTACATGCGCTCCAGAACTTTGTCCAATGGAAATCTTAGTCTATTTTGAAAGGACCTATCTATGAAAACAAACTGGGAAGCACAAACAATTTATCAATTGAAAAATGGAATCCAATATTGTTTAAAAAAAATCAAGAAGAACACTAAAAACTATGTACAGTTCTATTAAGCTATGTAGTGTTCTTCTCTATTGTATGATTATTAGTTTCAATAGTATAATGATTAACAGTGCTTACAAAAGTTGGATGCAGTTCATAGATACAGTAAAGCTGCTTTGTTGCTAGGGTTTCCAATCTGGATATTCGAACGCCTGATTATCTGGATAATCCGTCTTATTCTGACTATTCGAAAATCCAGATAATTTTCATTAAATATCTGACTATCTAGATACTTTTTGATAAATTAAAATTTTGTTTTCAAACAGCGGGAAACTTAAGTGTGGAATTAAAAAGATGGCAAGTTTAATTTAAAATAACAATCTTTCAAATAAGTTAAGTATATTTACTCAAAATAAAAATTTATTTATTTTGTTAAATGTTAGTTTATTTTTTTCTACTTTTCGTAACAATTGTATGTTGTTACACTTTGTAGCTTAGTTTGTTTAAGCAAATTGATTTGTATCTGCTAAATATTACATTAATGTAATATTAAGTTAGGTTTGTGGAAATCCGTGTTTTACGAAACTGAATTTTGTGCTAAAAAACTGTGCCACGTTTTTTAGATTTTTTTTAGTTAACATAATGAAGACATGTTTGATATCAACATAAATTGTTTTTAAAAACTAGAATAGTTAAACTCTATTACTGTTAGATTTATTATATTACTAGAAAGCTTTTTTGAGTTTTTAGATGTCTAAAACTTTCTTGAACTTTAGGCATAAAATTAATGTTGAAGATATGCTCTTTTTTATTTCTAAACTATTTTTTATTTTAAGTTTTTTATTTATCTATGCACTTGGCAAATTTCATTAAAAAAATTTTTGTAGCAGGGTGTCTATTTTTTGACACAATTTTGGTAAATAATTTTCATTTGCCTGAAATGGTCGCAGGTGACAAAGGGTTGATAAAACATTTTTTATATTTGATTTAATTTAAAAATTTATTAAAAAATGGAAAATAATGATAGAGATTAAAGTTTTCAATATTATTTCCTATTTATTAAAATTTTAAAATGAAATTATTAGATAGTAAATATGTTTTATGCTTTGTTGTTCTACTTTAATAACCAGATATAAATAAATAATCAGATATGAATAAATAATCACTTATAAATAAATAATCACTTATAAATAAATAATCACTTATAAATAAATAATCATTTATAAATAAATAATCACTTATAAATAAATAATTAGATATTTTATAATTTACCTTCTATATTTGGTGGTTGTTCGGAATTAATTTATAGAACCTTTTTTATACCAAAAAAAACTTTGTTTTGGGACTTTAGAAAACAGTAGTTGTGTTGTTTTTTCTTATTTTTTTTTTAAGGGTTGGAGCAACTCTTTTGACCACTAAAGGTGTTTATAAATTTATAATTAAAAGCTTAGATCAGTTACAAACAATATAAGTAAAATTTTATTAAAACAGATGAAAAGCTAATGGATGAACGTCGAGATAAAGTCCTTATGACATTTATAATTTTCTTAGAAACAGGCAATATTCCACATTCATACATTCCAGGATTCATTCTAGTGGTGACAGTAGCGGTACTGGGCGCAATCAGGTCGAGCATGGAGGTCGACCATGGAGGTCAACCATGGAAGTCGAGCATGGAGGTCGACCATGGAGGTCGAGGAAGTTATAAAAGAAATTGCAAGAAATAATATGCTTAAAAGTCAAAATGCTCATAATATTTTGCAGTAAAAACTGAAAGCAGCGATTTCCTCAATTACCCATGCAGAAAAGAAGAGCAACATATTTACTACATTGTTGAAAAATGATTTTATGTTTTTAACAAACAAACAAAAAATTAACTTGAATATTTTGTTTAACAAACTTCTAACAATAAAACCAACATCTACAGCAACAATTGCATGTTTAACTCTAACAAAAATCAGAACTTGCTTAAATTTTGAAACTTTTAATGCAATAATTTTTTGAAATATGCATTTTAAAAAATTAAATAAGTTTAAATAGTAAATATGTTTGAATTTTCAATGTATATAACTAAAATATTTAAGTTAAAATTAAATATTAAGTTTAAAATAGCATAAGAACATTAAGTTCATTCTATCATCTCTATTTTCTTTTTCGTTATCCGGATATATCCGAATAATTTGAATTTTTAGTATTTGATATCTGATAATTAGAAACCCTATTTGTCGCCATCTTCCTGACTTAGTACCATGTAATATATAAAATACCATGTAAAGCGTTAAAAAGAATAATAGCTGATTGTATCATGCAACATCTCATAAAAAATAATTTACTTTCAAAAAAACAACATGGTTTTATGAAAAGCAAGAGTTGTACAACAAACCTATTAGAATACCTAGATATTCTAACAAATGCGTTCCACAATGGAACACCGGTAGATGTATTGTACACAGACTTTAAAATCCATGTTGATGACTTGGTATTTCTGGTAAACTTCTTACGTGGATAGTCTGTTTCTTAGCTAATAGAAAACAAAGAGTGGTTTTAGGTGAAAGTGTGACAGATTGGGTTGATGTACTTAGTGGTGTACCACAAGGGTCTGTTCTAGGTCCTCTCCTTTTTCTGGTATTTATAATGATTTACCAGAAAATTTGATTAATGAATGTCGTTTATATGCTGATGATAATAAGATAATTGCGCCTATTTCTTCTCAAAATGATTCACAATTGCTTCAAAATGATATTAATAAACTTAACGAATGGTCAACAAAATGGAAATTACGAATCAATTTTAAAAAATGTAAAATTATGCACTTTGGATCAAATTATAAAGAATATTCATATTTTATGAACAATAACAATACATTAATGGAAATTGAAAAGTCAAAACTAGAAAAAGACATTGGTGTTTAAATTTCAAGTAATTTAAAATAGGCCAAACAAGTAAAATATGCAGCTAGTAAAGTAAATAGTTCTCACTACTAAATAATACATTAAAGTACAAGGATAAAGACCTAATAAAAACACTGTATTGTACTCATGTTAAACCAAATTAAGAGTTTTTGATTCAAGCATGGAGTCCATATTATACAAAAGATATTAATGAACTAGAAAAAACTTAACAAAGAGCTACCAAAATGATACCGGAGCTAAGACATCTTGAGTATGAAATAAGACTGGAAATTTTAGGTTTGACTACTTTGGAGACTAGAAGGCTAAGGTGCGACTTGATCCAGTAATTTTCATTCAAAATACTTAAAGTATTGAAATCATTGATATTAAACAAAATTAAACAATGAACTCTATTTGCTCATCAGGTCCTGCAGCTAACATTAGAGGAGCAAAACATCAAACGAAACCTAAATTGGTTAGTTTGAAAAGGCAATACTTTTTCAACAATAGGGTTGTTGATGAATGGAATAGTCTACCAACCGAAGTTGTTCAATCTACTACAGTTAAAAGCTTCAAATTAAACTTGCAATCAGTCGACTTAGAAGCAATAACAAACAAGGTAAAAACCAAGAAAAGCTTATTATTAACATTTTTATTATTTAGTGACTGAACTAACTTGCTCATTAATTAATTTATACTGCCTGTCATAGATATTGCCTGTCGCTTTATCTCAACAGCATTAATTATTATTATTATTATTAAGTACTTATGTTGCTGTATCACATGCTTTTTAAATAACTAAAACATTTTTATTGGTTCAGAAGTTTTGAAGTTTTCATTAATTAGTGATCACCGATTATTATCAAACATAAATATGACAAGTTTTAAACTTGCTGTTGATGGGATACAATATGGTAATTTAGCAATTGGGATAAAATATGACGACTCAGCAAAAAAAATGTTTAACATATAAATATGTTTAACATTATATACATATTTGAATGACCACAGATGTTAGAAGCTAATTTAATTTAATTGTTAAATCAAATTAGCATCTACCAATATAAACATAACAGAAAACATTGTTCTAAATTAAAAAAGAAAACTTTTTTCAAACATTTAAGATAAAATACATTTTAATAACTACATATACAACAAAAGCAACATAAAATAATAACAGTATACTTATTTTTACTATTATTATTCACTGCAACATAAATAAAATTAGTGCACAGGTACTTAAGTGCACAGGTACTTAAGTGCACATATTACTATTGCATGTAGGTTTGATTCATTTTCTGGCTTTTTGACAATCTACAGCTGTTTTTCAAAATGCATTAAGATGCTTTTTACCTATTTTGAAAAAAAAACCCAATTGAAAAAAAATTTAACAGAAGAAACTCTTTGTAAAATGTTTTTCGCAACTAATAATTTTAATGAACTTTTTCATAATTCTTCAAAAGTGTATATCTTTTCTAGGCATCTAAGTAAGCTTATCTTTATCACTAATTCATTACAACTTTCTCTACTTCTCCACTTGTTCAAATTTTAAGACTAAAGTTAAGTTCTTGAAACTTTTGTAAAATCTTTCATGTCTTTAATGTCTTAAATTTCATGTCTTTAATGTCAATAGTAATTTAAGTGATAAATAGTTTATTTATAATTATTTAGATCACAAACTAATCGAATTTTTTAAAAAAATTTCTTATTAACTCTTCTAAGGGTTGTGTATTTTCATAAAAAAACTTTCTTTAACTTTTTTTTTTTTTTTGGTGCATCTTTTTAAATCAATAATTTTTTTTTAGAGAAAATTATTGAACTGTATAACAAAAAACTAACAAAAATCATCTTACAATCATTGGAATAGATTAAGAAAATTTAAAAATTTTCTCAAAAACATTTTTTTTAGTTCTTTTACTTTTTATTTTCCAGTACTTCTAAATAATTTTTTAATTATACATAAACTATACATACAGGTTTTTTATGTAGGTTTTTATTTTGTATACCTTTAATATATAACTATGGCACACAACCAAAGGTTACTTTTGTAGACCTTAAAATTGTACTTTATAAAGAAGAAATTTAAATTTTCAAATCTCTGATTATGTTAAAGTTTCATATTGCACACACCTTCTGTAAAGATCATCATCTTCTCCTCCCCAACCCCAAAAAAGGTTTGACATTCCATTGATACTAACAAAATGTTCCTTTGTAAATGCTGCTACACCACCAAATATAGTTTCATATGGAAGTCTAAAGAAATAAAAGCATTAACAAAAGTTTTGCCCTACCTACTAGTAAATCATCAAGGTCCCAGCCCCGGGTAAAAATGGGACTTTTTACAAACCCAGCCCCATTTAGCAGAGGTTGATTGCCAGGGCTTGGAAAAAAATTTAAATACTTTATATATATATATATATATATATATATATATATATATATATATATATATATATATATATATATATATATATATATATATATATATATATATATATATACATTATATTATTAAAACTAATTTACTTAAGACAAAAGAAAAAACACTATCCTTTGTTTTCTAGTATTCTTTTCAGACAAATATCCTTTCCTTTATTTTCTAATAACTCTTAACTTAATAGTGGTAGCAAGCAACCACTATTAAGTTATGATCTACTAGAAAACAAAGGATATGGTTAAAGAAAATGGAAACCCTTAACTGAAAACTTAGAAAGTTGCAGGTTGTATAAGTCAGTAAAACATAAAAATGGGTGAAAGTTATGAGATTTTGTTGATGTGCAAGAAAATAAACTAGATGAATAAAAAATGTTATAGCATGGAGGGACAGATACAACTTTGTAAAAGCAACTGCAGTAAAAAGATGCAACTTTACTGAATGACCAACCAAGCGAAATGTTCAAACTAAAGATAATAGTATGTTTGAGCAGTAACCATGATAGTATTTGTAGAAAAAAGAAAGAGATGCAACCTTATAATGATGGAAGAGTGGCTCAATTTTTGCAGACAAAGCAGGTTCAACTACATCTAAAATGTTGTTTTGGACCTTGTCTGAGAGTGAGAAGGTTATTATTCCTCAATATAGGAATGCGAACAATATTGCAATAATTGTTAGCAGTTTTGTTGGAGTTAAAATCAACAAGCAGCAATTAACATTTTGTCTCTTTCCAATGTTTCAAAAGCTTGTTTAAAACCTAGATTGATTTCAAAAAAGCTTTTTTGAAATCAATCTACTATTATTCATTGGCTAGTATATTATTACTAGAATAATTTTCTTAGCTTTTATTGTAATAAATATATGTTTATACTGCATATTCTACTCTGGACCACAGTGACTTTTTTTTGTGTTTACAATCTTTTCTTTGCAAATCTCATGAGAATAATCTCTAATAAAAATTTTCTATACTTAGACCTATATGTTTATCATATTCTGTTTTTAATATATTTCTCATTATTAGGCTGGCTTGAAATTTAAAAATTAATATTTCTTTGCATTTGTTTTTTTACTAGTTCGTCAACAGAAAATACAACCAACAATTTACTTTTTTATTATATTGATAATAACATAATAGTTTTAAGTTTTTGCAATATTACATTAAATATTGCATTAGATTATTTAATGAAAAATGATAAAAAAATTTTTTTGTAATGTTATATAACAAGTGCTTAAAACAATTGAAAAAATATTTTTGTGCATGTGATTGTGTGCTTGCTAAAGGCCTGAATACCCATTTGCAACACCTTTAAAATTAAGAGTGTTTAAAAACTATGTAAGAGTTTATGTGATTTTCCAAAACCAGACAAAAGTTAGCAAAACTAATTTTTTATTGTATATTTGTTTAGTATGATATTTAAACTATATTATTTTAATGATTATATAATGTTTTTATTTTTTATTCACAATAAAAATGTAACTTAGTAGGATCTTTTACCTAAAATGAAAATATTGAAAATACAAATGCAAATATTTATTTAAACAGATGAAAAAATTATGTGCAATTAAAATGTAAGATATTGTGTTTCCACATTCACAAGTTAAGGTAATCACAGATATTGTGTTTCCACATTCACACGGTAATGCCATCACAGAAAGAAGTTGACAAAAGACTTAAAAAAAACATATGTGTCAGGAAAACATGAAGTCGGGAGAGAATTCTAAACCACATTTATTCAAGAAAAAACTAAGTAAAAAAGCTGAAGGAACCGCCACAATAAAAAAGAAAAGAAAAGATGAAATGAAAAAATGAAAGAGTAGCTTCAATAAAAGGATAAAATTTAGCTGAATAACAAGTCATATGAAATGGAGTTTTGACTGATGGAGCAAGTGACAATAGCTTGTTTGAGAAACAACCATGGTAGTATTTGAAGAAAAAAAAAAGAGATGCAACTTTACAAAGAAAGGACAATGGATCAACTTGGCAGGTCCATCAAAATCAGAATTGTAATTTCGGATCATGTCTAAAGTCAGCTTATTAAAAAAGTCAACTCAAATACAACAACAGAACTATCAGAAAGGGGCAGAGGTTCAAGCCTATCATTTAAAGCAGATCCAGCATTTGCAATACATTTTTGAACCATGTTTAAAAAAAGAAGGACTCATTAAAGGAACCAAACAAAATATGCAACAGAACTATGGGAGTACATACAACAGAGTACACAACAGAGTTAGAATGGACATGCAATGATTGATTTTTTAGGGGTATATGCTACTAATTAACATCATTCAATATCAAGAATTATTGGTTTCAGTTCATACCTATACAAATCAGTCAATATTTGAGGGTTTGGTAAAAAATTAACACTAATAAATTACAATATTTTAATAAATTGCACTATTATATTTAAAATAGTTTAAAAAAAAACAAAAACTAATACTAATAAATTGTATAAATATTTTAAAAATTATCATTATTAATTATTATTTTATAAATAATTTAAAAATTAGTATAAAAATTTTAATAATTATCAGAACTATAATCATAACTAAATTATTGAAACTATAATCATTACTGGTATTGAAATTTATCAACAGCAACAGACATATGTCGAGGTGATGTCGGGCAACCATAATAATTGCGATCATCTTCAGGAAGTAAGTCCACATCAGTAAATATAAAACAATTAAAATCTGCTATCTTTAATGCTTCGGTGTATCCAACATTGAAAAGTCCTGCTCTGTTAAAAGGATCATTTTCTAGCTAAAAAGAAATTTAAATAATAATAAAATAAAAAGTCAACAGGATAAGAACAGCAATTAAATACCCACTCTTAGATATTAAAGTTTTTTTCTAAAAAGCCATATATATTTTTAAAAATGCAATCTTTAGAGATATCCTTCTTGCTTTAAATTTTCTTTATTCAAAAATGTTGCAAACACATTTATTTTAAAGGTACAGCTTTATATTTGCAGTCAAAACAAAAAACGATTAAATATAATTTAGTCTAAAATATAAAACTCAATCAAACTGGTTTCTTTCAATGAAAAGGCATAACTCAATACTTTACATTGCATTTATGTTTTCAAAAGAAACATAGCAGGTAAAAACATAGCAGGTAAAAAGGTAAATAAAAGATGATTACTTTAAAGTGCAACAAAAACTTGCAATTGCAAAAAGTAAAACTTTAAAATTTAATAAATTTTTAATATGAAAAACTCCTTTTTTTGTTGTTGTTAAGTTTTTATATAATTATTTACCTGCTCTACAACAATTATTCTGTAATATAACTCTTGTCTCATCAGTAAAGGATGCATGTGGCGTAGAAAAATTAATAACTGATCATTGCGGTTTCTGAACGGAATCACTATTGCTACCTAAATAATTAAAATTTAAAGATAACTAGAAACTCTAAATAATACAAATGAAAAAATTAAGATAAATATAAATATTTTTGCATACACACACAGTGACCCACTCAGTTTTGGGGATCTGAACAACAAAAAAATACATCAGGCTTTGTTTTAAATAAAAAATGCTTAAGGTATTAGCTTAAAGTAAATTTGATGTCATAAACTCTCTATATGTTTTTATTTTATTTAAGGACATTAATTTTTTTAAACTAATGCAATATAATAAATTCCCACAAAATGTGTAACTATTTTATGGAATTTATGTAACTATTTTATGGAATGTTTGTTTTTTTTAATTATTTAATAATTAAATTAAAAAAAAAAACAGTACTTTAAATATTTAATATAAAGTAATTTCTTTCTTTTCTTGACATACATATAAATGTATTAAAACTTATTAAAATTTTTTAAATTATTATTTTTGTTAATTTTTTAATTGCCGTTTAATAGGAACAAGATAATTATGAAACATAATTCACTTGAAAATATTTAAATAAACCATAGATGGTTTATTTACTCCACTAAATCCCTTTTTATAATAATTTTTTTTTTTTATAACAAATATAATAATTTTTATAATAAATATAATAAATTATATTTTTATAATAATAATAAATTTTTTATTATAGACCTATAATAAAAAATAAGGGATTTAGTGGAGTTTTATTTTAGGTTTAATGTATTGATAACATAAATGAATGAAAATCTAAATTTATTTTTAAACATTAATACTAAATATAAATTAAATATTTCAATTGAAATTATAATTGCATTAAAGTAAATTACATAGATAAAATTTTAATAACAAAAATAAAATCTACTAAGATAAGTTACATCATCCTTCATAACAATAAAATAAAATCTACTAAGATAAGTTATATTTTGAAACATTACAAGCCTTCATAACAATATTGCTATGACAATCTGAAGAGCATTATAAATAAAAAAGTCAAATCTGCAAAAAGTTAAAAATGTCAAAAAATACAAATATTTAAATTTATTTTCTAATAGAAAGTGTCTTTGTTTGCTGTATTTTTTGTTAAATTTCATATGTGTAGATATTTGTTTATCATTACATATTTAAAACTTTATACTTATACCTTGACCCTTTCAACACATTGTTTGGGTTTCCACCATCCACCTTTTTCAATCATTCCACCAAAATCCACACTGTACATTTTTTCTAAATCTTTTAGACTTGGTACAGACTGATCAACATATAGTGCCCCAACTATAAAATTAAAATTTATTATAAAAAGAAAAGATTTTCCAAAAAGAAGTGTCAGAAACGACTTAAAGTGTAATAAGTTACACTTAAACCCTAATTTTTAAGTGGTAATAAAGTCATAAGTGTCAGACAATACTAGAAGTGCCAGATTAATTTTTTGGAATTTTTTTTTATCAGTTTTATTCTTTTTAAATTACTTTTAAAAAATAAGGCAAGAAATATAAAATTTTAAAATAAGTGATAATTACTGTGAGGTGATAGTAACAGTGAAGTAGTAGTTACTAATAATTGCAGCAACTTTGATTGGAATTAGATAAACTAACAACAATAATGTTTTTATAATAACTACCAATTAAAACAACTTTCAACAATAAGAAGAAACTACATAACTATCGTTTTATTGTTCTTTTTAATTTTATGAAATTCTTTTACTTTTTTATATTTTTTCATTAGTTTTCATTTGAAAATCAATTAAATGTGTAATAGATAAAAAAAACAAAAAACAAAAAAACAGATTATTTTTCAAATTAAAAAGAAAAAATGGTGGTTATTTGTCTAGATTTCTAGACATAAATATAAACAAAAAAAAAAATTTAAATGAATAATAAAAAAATAAAAAATAAAAAAAACATACCAAGCCTTGATCCTCTCAAAGAACAGGGTTGATTGCTATTTATTTGTTCATTAGTAATATTTGATATTGTATTTGAAATTATATTTTCTATTTTTAAATCCAACTCAACATTAGGTTTCTTAACATTATTATCCTGATTTGATACTAATTTGATATCAGAACTACTTTCATTTATTGTATATGTTTCTTTTTCTTTTTCCACTTTAATATTAACAACTTCAGATTTATCTATATGATTTCGGAATGAAATTTTATTTTCAAAATCAATTTTGCTGTTTGTATCATCATTATTTCTATTTGAAATATGTTGCCATGGAACATTAACAGAGTTCAGCATTTTAAAATAATTTTTACTAAACATGTGCATCACCACAAAAAAAATGATTACACAACCAAAAAAAAGTAAGCAATATCTCAATCTTGAGAGAAACATTCTTCTAAGTTTGCATAAAACCAAATCAGTGCTGCGAAATTCTAATTTAAAAAAACACGTATATAAAAATTATGTATGCATATATATATATATATATATATATATATATATATATATATATATATATATATATATATATATATATATATATACAGAGCTCGAAATAGCCGCCGGACATCAGACATGGCACTGGTCCGGTAAAAATCATCATAAATCGGTCATTTTGTCCGACCAATATTTTGTGTGAATTTTTCTTATAATTATTTTAGTAATTTAAAAGTTATTGAAATGTTCAGTATATAATATATAAACTTTCTTTATTATTTTATTTTTTAACCAGAAATCCACAAGAAAACGAAAGAGTACACAAAGCGATGAAGTTCGTCATTCTTTGAGATAATTCAAAAAAAGTGGAAACAATATTATGCTGCAAGAATTTTATTTAATGAGCAACGCTTTTTTTTAAGGGAGTTAACATAAACACATTTCTTACGTTTTTCCTTTTCATTTTAAAAATAGCTTCCCAGTTAATATTATTATTTTGTAAAAAATAAAATTTAATTCAACATGTTACGTTTTTAATAGTTTTCTGTTTACTGTGGATTTGATTTTGAAACTTTAATTGAATTGGAAATTTTCGTAATGTAAATCTATTTGTTACTTTTAATTAAACTTATTTATTAACTTATTAAATTTTGTAAACGGAAGTTTTAAATTTGACAATAAATATATTATTGAAATATTTGCAATGATAATGTGTTGTCATTATTCTAACCTAGGGTGTGATATTACAAAAAAAATGGAAGCAGTTTGCTCTGTTTGTCGTGAAAGAAATACAAAGTATATGTTTTTGTTTGCAATGTTTGTGCAACTCCGGGAAACACTGGTGACTTATCTTATAGTGAGGAAATTAAGAGAATTGCCTTATGTTCAAAGTGTTCAAACGTTGAGCCACCAAAAAAATATTCAAAAAAAACTATATTTTCTTTGTTTAAACCACTTTTAGAACAGTCGCCTGCAGCTAAGTCCATACATGAAAAAAATGCCAAAGAAGAAACAAGTAAGATATTGTGGCAAATCCTCATAAAGTATCAGTATCAGCAGTAGAAACTTGGAAGTCGGAGTTCGCTGAGTATTCACTTAGCGAATGGCTATTTTATGACATAGATTCAAATGAAAAAGTAAAAAAACTTTAAGTTTTTTTACTTTTTCATTTGAATCTATTTTAGAGTTTAAAGGGACTACCAAGTCCTGAGACATGTTGTGTTCATATTAAAAAGAATGTTAAAAAAAAAAGCCTGAGTAAATTTTTTTTTATTAAAACTAATTAATAAATGTATACCAAGAAAAATAAATCTTGTTTTTTTAGTCGAAGCTTGTCTTCTCCTTTTTCTGCGGTATTTGGAGTCTGTAAAATAAATGCGATTTTCCAGGCACATTATACAGACTTGATAACTTATTCAAGTGCGTTTAATTCATAGAAGTTTTAGTACATGACGTCAGAAATTTTTTTGTTTGTTTAAAACACCGATTATTTTTTTTTACATGCAATTTCAAATCATATTCATTTTTATTATATTTTAAAGTTCTAAAATGTGTTTGTAAAAAAATTAAAAACAAAATAGTATTTTATTTGCGCAAATGTTTTTAAATAATCGTCTAGACCACATGTATTTTGATTTTTTTGTTATAAGTTTTTCTTTCAAAATATTAGATAAAATAATTTTTAACCTAATTAATAATGCACTTTTATTAATTTACTTTGTAAATACTAAAAACAAATATTAACGCATTTTTTCTCTGATTTTCAAAAACTTATTTTTTGGTATTGAGGTGATCTTATTTCATTATTTATATTTCCATTATTATAACATCCGATAAATATCATGGCGGGGCTTAAAAAGTAAAAAATTAATATATATTAATTTTTGTTTTACGGACATACATGGAAACATAATTAACTTGAATGTGCTTAAAGAGGTATTCCATGAGAAAGTGGGACAAATTTTTAAGGTTTGTAACCCACTATCTCAGATTTCCTTCATACTTTGTAAAAATGGTCACCTATATAACATAGACTAACTTGCAAAATTTTAGCACTAATATCAAAGGGGTTTTGGAGATACTGTTACTTTAAAATCAGCTATTTTTAGCAGGTTTTTTTGTTCGGCAGCCATTTTGATTTTACTATAGTTTTTGTTTTACAAGTTACTGTTTAACTAAACATGTAATTAAGCTGAAAATTAGCACCTATATAGTTTTTAGGACGAGGAATCGGAATATAATATTTGTTTTTAATGAAAATAATTTGAAGTTTATTAATATTGGGATTGTACTTTACTTATAGCTATTTTTGAAATTTTAACAAAAACGAAAAAGAGGTCTGGTAACCATGGAAGCATTAATTAAAAAAATTTTTTTTTTGTTTTTATTAAATTAGATATATTAAGAAGTGTTTTGGTACAAAATTGAGAGGTGGGTTTTTTGAGGATTTTTAAAAATAATTAAATGAATTATAATGAAAAAGTACGTTTGGATGTTACTTATTAAGAAATTTCTTATTTTGAAAACTTTCATTATAAGAAAAAAAAAACATTAACAAAAGTTAAAATGAAAAATTCATAATAGATGTAATATATTAATTCAAAATAATCAAACAAATACAAGTTTTAAATAAAAAACTAGTCAATAAAAAACCAGAACTTGTATCTGAATAATTCATAAATTGCTTCTAAAAGAAAACTGGTGTAATATGATTGAGTTAATTTAAAAATTGTATTTTATGCAAATCGTCTGTGTCTATCTGGTATATGTACCCAGATCTTGAAGATGATGGTTTTTTTATCATAATTAAAATATGGGGCAAATTGATCAAGTCTTACAAAAGCAAAGGAAAAAAAGTCTTGAAAATTTGCCTAGAGTTAAAGATTTTCTTTCACAAATCAAAAAAAAAAACAGCAAACATTATTATCATGACATTGAACTTAAAGACTTTGAGCGTGAGTTCAAATTTTTTAAAACAAAAATTGTGGATTATTTAACAGTAGTCAGGGAATGCATTATACAACGCGTAGAAAACGAAAAAGAAATTACTCTTACTTTAAAGTATGCATTCCAAGTAGTTTATTGCAAGGGTTGGCATCGGGAGGTTATAGCTGAAAGCGGAATGACAACGCGAAATTTAGAAGCTTTAAATTATATATGCAAACACTTTCAAGAGTTTGCATATATAATTTCAGGCCTTGTTAAGAATTGTTACGCAGCTCGCATTTTACCTGCGAAAAGGTGATTTGCCTACGCGTTCAGCAGTTTTGCGTTACGCAAAAACTTTAATCTTTTAGAATATTTAAATTATCATTTGATATCGTTTATGTGACGTTTATTCAGAGGAAAATAAAGTCATAAATAAAAGCATTTAACCGCAATTGTTAACTAATAGATTTTTTGTTAAAGAAAAAAATTTTTAATTATTTGTATTGTTGTTGTTGTTAAAAATTAGTTTAAAAAAAAATAAGTGTTTTAAGTTTAAACTTTTTATCATATTTAATATTAAGTTTTATATTTCATAAGTTTAAAAACATTCAAATTAAAAAAAAAAAAAAAAAACTTCAACTTATTTTATTAAATTTAAATATTTTTTTATTAATCATAGTTTTAGTAAATAAATTTATTAAATTTAATTAAAATTTTTTTATTTAATTTTAAAATAAAGCATTTTAAAATTTTTTAATTTTAAAATGCTCCGTTTTACAATTTTATTTTATGATAAAATTTCCAAAGTAAAAAAAGATTTAATAAATTTAATTCAAGTTACTTTAAAATGTTCGTATTACATATAACTTTATTTTAATTTCAGTTAAGTTTCAGTTAAGTTCCAGTTCCAAATACTGATCTGAATAATGCGCTGAACAAAAGCGCATTATTTTCCAGTTTTTATTTTTCCATTATTTTACAGTTTCATTCATTATTTACAGAAGCACATTATTCATTTTATAACTACAAGTTAATAAATAACGTCAATACAATAAATTTTTTTTAAACTTGAGTTATAGATGTTATGTTTGGGTTTTCCCATAGCCATTTGCCAAAGAATTTTTTTTATAAAACAAACCATAATTCAAACCCATTAAAAATAACGCGATCAGTAAATAAACTCTTTGAAAGCCGAACTTATATTTATTTTATTTTAAAAACAAAACTAGTACTAGAGCTATAAATATAAGATAAATAAATTTCAAAATTATAATGATATTTTTTAAAAACAAATTCTGCTTATAACATCTTAAAACCGAAAACACTATTTTTTTTTTTTGGATTGAGTAAAAAAATAGTAAAAATACATTAGGTTTCACTGTACATAAAAATAAAATATTTTAATGGAAATAAAAAAAAACAAAGTCGAAAAGCAGTAAATTTCGTTTCTTTACAATATTTATTTTATCAAAACCAGTTAGTGCAAACATTTTTTAAAAAGGGGAAAACCCAATCTATGCATTTAGTTGTAAGTACATTTAAATCCCTTTAAGAAAATCAACCATAAACAAGTGTTAAATTTAAATTATTAAAAAAAAAAATATTTAAAAAAAACAACAACCATAAAACGAATGTTTGATAGCAAAAAAATTAAGTTTAAATAAGTATAAGATTTTAATACAAGAAGACTTTTTTTTAATCAACATTAAAACTTTAGTTGTTTTTTTTATAACAATATTGTTCAATTTAAAGCTATTTCATTTCAAAGACTAACAATAGTTTTTAATGTCATTTTAAATTTAATTACAATAAAGTAAAAACGCAACTGACGCAATTTAACTTTTAACAATGTAAATGTCTTTATTGAGTAAAGCTACATTTATTCACGTTTCGCTTTTCCGTTACGCAGCGAAATCTCGTAACAAGGCCTGTAATTTATATTATTTTAACAGTTGTTGAGCTATTGTTTACTTTGCCAATTTCTAACGCTAAACAGGAAAGAATGTTTTCAAAGATGAAAAGTGTAAAATCAAATTATCGAACCTCATTGACAGAATCTTACGTTTCA